CCCCACACACACACACATCTCTCTGATCTGCTACAACCGTATGTCCCTCCACGTTCCCTGAGGTCAGCAGCCCAATTGCTCCTCACAGTTCCAGGAACTCGTCTTAGGCGCAGAGGGGACAGGGCCTTCTCTGTAGCAGGACCAAGACTTTGGAATGAGTTACCTCAGCTTGTCAGACTGGCCCCCTCCCTCTTGGTTTTCAAATCCCGTTTAAAAACTCCCTACTATTCAGTAGCTTTCAACACCAGGTGATCTGTGTTTTGAACCTGCATGCTCCACACTGGTTTGTCGTCATATTTATTATCTGCATCGTTTTTATGTCTATATTTTTGATTTACTTCATTTTGTATTTTGCTTTGTGTGTTGTCTGTTGTTCTGTCTGTACAGCACTTTGGTTGGCCTTGTAGCTGTTTTAAGTGCTCTATAAATAAAATGGTATGGTATGGTAAGTGTGGGTTCAGCACACTTGACCTGTGTCCGGTCCAGGTACAGTTCTACTCACCTGCAATATGTTGACCAAAGTGCAGCGAGTCATCCTCTGCCTGAAGTGATGGTGCAGATCCAGGTGTGTATGTCTGACCCCCGAGGCTCAGGTGGCTCTCCCATCCAGAACGAATCACCTCCTTGTCAGCGGTGCTCCACAGCAGCGAGTCCGGGTGCTTCTGCCTGATGTGCCTCTTGATGGTGCTGAGCTTCAGGGTGGCGAGTGAGCTGCCACACACCATGCAGATCATGCCATGTCTCTGGGGGTCAAAGTCCATCAGGTACTCGCTGCGCCAGTACTCGTGGTAGTAGCGCCGATGATCACGGCCAGGAATGCGGCTCAGGCCTGGACGCGACGCTCTCTGGACCTTGGGTTTGCGTCCCGAGGGCCCCGGAGCTGGGGAAAGGAGAAGCGGGTGGTCGGGGCCCTCGGTGATGCTCCAGTAGCTGGTGCCCGGCGATCTGACAGGTGTGACCATACCTGCTTGGGGTTTCCCCCCACTGTGGCCATTGGCAAGATTGTCCCCTTCTGAAAAGAAGACAGAATAAGACACTGCAGGCTCTGAACATTTGTGGACAGTTAGTCCTTTTACACTTTGCTGGTGACTCTGAGCAACACTTTGTTTTAGTCAAAGAGCTCAACTTGAATAAAGTCCAAGCAGAGCAGAGTTTACCAGAAGGTCACCTGATGCTGAAGGACACAGCTCCAACTGATCTGCTCAAGCCCTGTAACCTTATGTTCTCCCATGTCATCATTATCAGACGATGCGTTGTGAAAAACTCTCAGCTACTACCACACCACGTTACCCTAATACATGCCAAACTAAATCAGAGCCATTTTGATGGACTTATGTCAATCAGCTGTGGCGGCCATGTTGAAATAAACTGACTTTAAAAGTTGTAGGTGTTCAGACAATGATTATCATATTTAAAAATGTTTTTACGAAAATCTATCTAGAGCATATGTGTCAAACTCAGGATCCAGGGGCCAAATGTGGCCCTCGCTGACATCTTATCTGGCCCCCAAGATGATATGTGAAATGAAAAATACTTTTATCACTTTAATTTTTTCAGTAATCTTTGATTATAATGTCAAAAGTGCAACAGAGAACATCAAATGAGACCAATCAAAATTTTTTTGAGGAACTTGTGACCAAGAAAAGATACTGGGTACCTAACTTGAGTTCATGTAGATTCTGAAACCGGTCCTTACTTTGAAAAAGTGTTTAATTTTGGCGCCCCCTCTGAGTGGACACCCCTGATCTAGAAGTTCATTAGATTGTTACTGAAGTACTTTAACAACTTAATCAATTGACATAGTTGATTTCAAAACGTCATTAGACCTCTTCATGTTCTGAAGAAACCTGTTAAACACCCTGACTCACATCAGGCGTGTTGAATTACAGAAACATCTCAAATATGTAGGATAGTGCCCCTTGAGGACCAGGACTGACAACCACTGACCTAAAACATACCGGACAGCGGCCCTCAAGGACCAGGACTGAGAACCACAGATCTACAAC